CCCGTGCGCCTCCGAACTCCGGCTCCTGCGCGTCCCCGCCCCCGCGAGGCTCCGCCCTTCTCCGAGCGCCCGGCGGCGCGTCCCCGGCCACCCCTCCCAGCCTCTTGTCCTAGCTAGTCTCCAGCCACCCCTCCCAGCCTCTGGTCACTGCATGTCGCCGGCCACCCTTCCCAGCCTCCGGTCTCTGAGCGTCGCCGGCCACCTCTCCCAGCCCCTGGTCAATCATCGCTGGCCATGCTTCCCAGCCTCTTGTCCTTGCTAGTCGCCGGCCACCCCTCCCAGCCTCTGGTTCTTGCCTGTCGCCGGCCACCTCTCCCAGCCTCCCATCCCTACTGCACAGGCTCGGCCTCTCCGGATAACCAGCCCCCCGCGTGTCCAAGCAGGACCCACACCAGACACTTACCTGGAGTCTCCGAGCAGCAGCCAAGAGCAGGCGGAGACGCTGGACGGAAGCTTCAGAGCCGTCTTGGGCCTCAAATACCAGCGGGCGGGGCAGCGAGTGGAGGAGCCCTGGGAAGAGAGCCAGCAGCCTGGAAGGGAAGTGCCAGGTGTGCCCCAGGTATGCTACTGCACTTTGACCTCAACCCAGGCAGGAAGCATCCCCAGACTCCAGGCTGACACCACTTACTGCAGGGGCCCTGTAGACTTTCTGGGTGTGTCTGATTGCGGCCTGGAAGATGACTCACCCTAAGGCTACCTACTGGAGTTTTCCATCTGTGAGCAGCAATTATGGCCTCAGTAAACAGAAAAGGGCTCCTGCTACGTGGTTGTACCCTGCACAGTGCAGACAGAAACAGATGGAGGGACCAGCAGTTAGCGTGATGGCTATATTGCTGGACTCCCACGTAGTCCACCGAGGTTCGAGTCCCTGCTTAAACTCACGCCGGGCGTGTGTGCGTGCGTGCCCAAGATCCCGAGCGGAGTATTGAGGAGAAGGGATTGCAGCGTGGCCATCCCCCCTGGGGGGTGATTTCTCGCTTTCTATCTCTCTGTCTCTTTCTGTCTGTCTGGCCAGTGCACGCACCCTATAGCAAAAACCTCTCCGAAAAATAAATAAAGAAATAAAAGAAACAAATGAACAGAGCCCTGGCGTTCATTGCTGGGGTTCAAAACCGTCCAGGATCTGGAGACCCAGAAGAGTTAGAGCCCAGAGTGCTGGAACAGGTGGGAACCCCTGGGCTGCCCTCTTAGAGCCTGCTCAGAACAGAAAGGTCTGGGGGTCCTGGGGGACAGGGGAGACGATGTTCACCGGATTTTTTTTTTTTAAATGAGTTCAGTCTGCAAAACCTCAAAACTGTTTACTGTCTCCTACGTCTTTACCTCAAGTCAGTTTCTCAACTTGGCCACTATTGATGGGTGAGCTTCGGAATCCTGGCTGTTGGGGACATGGGCCAAGGAGCTGTCTTGGCATTCCAGACTGTGAACAGCATCCCTGGCTTGTCTACCCAGCAGATTTCAGTAGCAAACCAGCTCCCCACCCAGATGTGCCTTTTAATTGTATCTTTAATTTTATCTTAATCTGTACAGAAAACACTCCGCTAGCTTAATTCCACTTCCATCCCTTGCCAGTCCTTTTGCTTACTTTTTTGAAGCGTATTTATTTTATTCATGATAGTGCTTGTCTGTGTGTGAGAGTGACACACAGAGAGGAGCAATTTGGACAGGGTCCCCACATGCAGAAATCTTCTCGTCCAGCCTCCAGTTCTCCAGGATTGTTTTCAGGCCCACCCAGGGACGCGAACTGAGGTCGGCCCTGTGGCTTCCAGCACTGCAGTTTACTCTGCTGCCAACTGCACCACCAGCCTGTGCCTCCTATGCTTTCACTGTACTTTGATCAGCTTCAGGTTGATCCTTGCAGCTGATTTTTTTGCAAAATAAATAATGTATATGCTTATCCACTAATTATTATTTCACCCTTCTTATCAAAAGGATAGCATCCTGCTGATAGTTCCCTCATGCTTGTTTTCTGGCCCTGCAGTATTCCTGTGTACCGTTTGGACATGATTTGTAATCAAGTCATTACAAGTAACACTGCCATAAATAGTTCAGCAATACTTCTCAAGTCTCTGTGCAAATCACCTAGGGGATAGTGTCAAATGCAGATCTCACTTCCAGAGATCCTGAGGTTGGGACCAGCAGTTGGCGTAACGGCTGTGTCGCTGGACTCCCATGTAGCCTACTGTGGTGCGAGTCCTGAATCCAGAGAATGGAGGAGAAGGGATTGCGGCGTGGCCATCCCCCCTGGGGGGTGATTTCTTGCTTTCTGTCTCTCTGCCTCTCCCTGTCTTTCTGGTGAATGCACGCGCCCTATAGCAAAAAAAAAAAAAAAAAAAAAAAAAACTCTCCAAAAAAAAAAAAGGAGAGAGAGACCCTGAGGTTGGGCATTTCTCACAAGATCCTGCAAGAAGTTAGTGTGAGTACTATTTGATATTCAGGGAGAAGTATCCACTAATCCAGATTGCTAGATTCCTAAAAAGAGGGTTTCCTGGCCCAAAGGTTTGTCACTTATTGTCAAGTTTTCTGACATAAGGATCGTGTTACTTTGTCCTCTCTAGGTCTCCTTTCTTCCCAGTCTAACTAACGGTGTGACTATCAAACTTTTGGATTTTTATCAATCCAGCAGATAATATCTCAGTGTAGTTCTAATTAGCAAAGTTGAAAATCTTTTTAAATACTATGGGTGCAGTTGAACATCTTTTTATATATTTAAAAGCCATCATGTCTTTTTTATTTTTTTTTATTTTTTCGGAGAGGTTTTTGCTATAAGGCGCATGCGCTCGCCAGACAGACAGAGACAGAGAGATAGAAGGCAAGAAATCACCCCCCAGGGGGGATGGCCATGCCG